ATGTGATCAAAGTAGAGAGAGAGTAATGTGGAAACCATCTGTCCCACAGGTAGGGGGAGGGTGTAGGACGGGGGTATACTGGGGTCGTTGGGGATGGAGAATGGGCACTGGTGAAGGTACGGATGTTTCATTGTATGACCGAGACTTAGACCTGAAAGCTTTGTAACTGCTCTCATGGTGATTCAATAAATAAAATTATAAAAAATGAAAAAAAAAAGTTAAGGTGGAGTTCATGCACAATTCAATCAGCTGATCAGTGGCTTAATAAATAGCAGTACTCCTACATAAAAAAGAAAGTAATTCAGAGAGACATATGTACCCCTATAATGGAAGTATTATTTATAATAACCAAGATCCGGGGGGAGGTTATAGTCTCTGAGTCGTGTAATCCCATCAACGGCCAAGACTCAGAGACTATAAAACCCAGCTCCCGGAAGAGAACAGCGCAGAGTCTCCTGCCCCCGCACCTGGCTGTCCTCACCGGGGCCCCTTGGAGTGGAGCAGGTTGAGCTTTCCTCCCCGCCCTGACCAGGGCTCTGGCAGCCAAAGACCTCCAGAACCAGCCACCACCATGCTGAGACCACTCTCTGCGCACATGAAGGTACCGGCAGGGGAACAAAGGCACGTAGTCCTGGGGCTGAGATCTCCAAGCCTTCTCAGATCAGGGCTGAGCATCCTCCAACCAGATCCTCCAAATTCCAGTAGGCGGGGGTCACACCCACCAACTGGTCCCCTGGCGCCATGTAATCCCATCAACGGCCAAGACTCAGAGACTATAAAACCCAGCTCCTGGAAGCGCACGGCCGCAAATGTGGCCGCGCGACATCCTATCATCTCATTCCTACTTTGGACAAACTGGCAAGCTACCGAATATAACCTGCCCACACGGCAGAGTCTGGCAAACTCCCCGTGGCGTACCCAATATGCCAAATACCAGTAACAATGAAGGGTCTCATTCTCCTAACTCTGAAAGAGCCTTGAATATGGCACTTTTTAAAAAATCTCAGGGCTAGGACAAAGGAGACGTTACTGGGGCCTGCTCGAGGCAATCGACAAATAACAGGATGGTCGTGATCGTGATCGTGAACCAAGATCTGAATTAATCCAATTGTCCATTGATGGATGAAAAAAATCAAGAACATAGGAGATACATATTATATTAAGATATAAAAATCTGTGAACCTAGAGGATATTACACTAACTGAAATCAGACATAGACAAATACCATTTGATTTCACTCATATGTAGAATATTTTAAAAAGCAAACAAATAAACCAAACTAAACAGAAACAAACTGAGATACAGAGAACAAACTGATGTTTACCAGAGAAGGAAGGAAATGATGCGTCAATGACACAGGTCCACTGTACGGGAATAGGTGATCATGACTTAATGTTATATAGACATCAAATTAAAGTTGTCCATCTAAGGCTCATATAATGATATGAACATAAGTTATGAATGTAAGCTGCTTGTTATGTAAACCTAAATAATGCTATAAGTAAATGTTAATTCCCTCAATAAAATATTTTGAAGTGTTTCGCTTTGGATAACTTTTTATTTTTTAGTTTATTTTTTTTTAAATGTAGGAGTACTGCTAGTTATGCTTTGGATAACTTTTTAACAAAAATGATTCTAGGGGCTGGAGAGAGAGTATAGCAGGAAGGGTGCATGCTTTGCATGCAGCCCATCTGGGTTCAGCCTACAGTATTCCACTGGTCCGCCTAGCATGTCACACGTAATTCCTAAGTGCAGAGAAAGGAGTAGCCCCTGAGCAGCTGAATGTGCCCCCCAGCCCCCCAAAATTAAAATTAAATAAAATGATTCTACTAGCTACATACACAAAACATCTTATAACCTCTCTCCTGCATAAAAGCACTTACTGACTTCAGCACATAAGTAGTCATAGGCATAATTTCCTGCAATTGTAGATTCTAATTTATATTCCCTAAATTAGTATTGTTTTAAAACTAAAAGTAATTTATGGTAGTGCAGATAACCGAGCATGACCTAAGGCTCCTTAGGCCAGAGCAGGAATATTTTTATGGCAATAAAATACACAGGGGAGGGGGAGTTGCTAAATATGGTTCAAAAAGTAATTCACATTAAAGAATCAAAATTTTCCAAAGAGAAAAAAAAATCAAAATTTTCCAACTGGGAGCCAGAGAGATAGCTTACTGGGCCATGCACATGTCTTATGTGCAAGAGGCCTAAGTTCAGTCCCTGATACCATATGGTTCTCTCAGCACCACCAGGAGCAACTAGCTTCTTAGCACTGCTGAGTGTATTCCCCCAACCACAAAAAAAAAACAGCTAAAAGCTATTTGTCTGGTAGACAGGAGACAATTTTTCATTCAAATGTCCTACAAAGTACAGGAAAATTTTTCTTTTTCTTTTTTATTAGTGAAACACCATGAGGTACAGTTGTAGACTTACAAACTTTCGTGCTTGAGTTCCAGTTATACAATGATCGAGTACCCATCTCTCCACCAGTGCCTTTAGGGTGATTAGTTTGCAATAGAGGTACTGAGTAGTCATCGTGTTGGTCTATTGTTACTTTCAGCACCCATCTCGCATCCTGAGCGAGTTCTCCAAATATCCTTTACTTGGTGTTCCCTTCTCTATCTGATCTGCCTTTTCCCCCAGCACATGCTGCCAGCTTCCAAGCCATGGAGCAGACCTCCTGGTACTTATCTCAACTATTCTTGGGTGTTTGACTCCCATTCTGTTACTTTATATTCCCCAGATGAGTGCAGTCTTTCTATGTCTCTCCCTCTCTTTCTGGCTCATTTCACTTAGCATACTTTCCATGTAGAACCACTTGTACGTAAATTTCATGACTTCATCTTTTCTAACAGCTGCATAGTATTCCATTGTATAGATGTACCAAAGTTTCTTTAGCCAGTCATCTGTTCTTGGGCACTAGGGTTTTTTCCAAATTTTGGCTATTGTGAGCAGGGAAATTTTTCTTTCAGCAAAAACTGAACCCAATGCGGGTTCAATTTCAGGCATCCCATATGGTCCCCTGAGCACCACAAGGGGTAATTCCTAAATGCAGAGTCAGAAATAACCCCTGAACATCGCCAGATGACCTAAAAAGCAAAAAAAAAAAAAAGGGGGGGGGAGGAGTGGAGGGGAGGGAGAGAAGGAAATCCAGAACTGGTTCCGGAAAGCACACAGAAGGTTGGAGAGCACAGGCTTTACACATGGGAGCCCGAGTCTTGAACTTCAGCACTACATGGTTTCCTGGGCACCACTTGTAATGGCCCAGGAGCACTGCTCTAGAAAAAGCGAACCTTTATCCCTCAAAAGCCAAAAAAAATTCCCAAATAGGCCAGGGAAATAGCTCAAGTGGTAGAGGACATCCCTATATGTGCAGTGCCTTCAGTTCAATCCCAACACCACTGGCATCTCTCCCCCACTGACAGGTGGGGTCCTAGCAGCTCCCCCTAAGCTACACAGTGTATGACACCTGTTATTTTATTTTTATTTATTTTATTTTGTATTTTTGGGCCACACCTGGCGATAGTCAGACATTACTCCTGGCTCTGCACTCAGGTATGACACCTGGTCACACTCTGGGGAACATATGGGATGTCAGGGATCAAACCCGAGTAAGTCACATATAAGGCAAACACCCTACCCACTGTACTATTGCTCTAGGCCAACATGTGTATTTTAAAAGTTCATAAAAGCAAGACCTACTGACTATTTACCCCACTAGTTTCCAATAAATTGTACTTCTTATATAACTACATATTCCTTTTTACCTTTGTACAATCTAATTTTGAAGGAACATGAAGAACATTTAAGTTATGGGCTAAAGCAATAGCACAGTGGATAAGGCTCTTGCTTTGCACTTGGCCGACCCATGTTCAATACCAGACATCCCATAAAGTCCCCTGACCACAGCCAGGAGTAATTCCTGACTACAAAGTCAGGAGTAACCCTTGAGCATGCAGGGTGTGTCCCAAACCAACAGAAAAACACACACACACAAACACACATACACACTTTAAATTAGCACTGGCTAACTTTAACTTAACATTAATGCTTTAGTCATACTGATCTCAGTCAATCTATTAGAATTATGGCAAACCGAACAAATAAAAGATCTACTTTGTCTCTTTGGGATGTCAGTTTCACTAGATTATTCTTTATTTCTAGGTGTTAGGAAGGCACTTTGTATATTTTCTTTTCTTTCTTCTTTTTTGGTATAGTGAAATTTTCTCTGTAAGTCTTATATAAGGTTAGAATTCTAGATCCAACACAGTATCTAGGGGCATGCTACTTTTACACTATTTTACTTCCACAGCAAAACAAATACTTTCCCCATAGGGTTGTTAAAATATTAAAGCTAATACTCATTTAAAAATCTGGCAACAAGGAAGAGGGGAGGGAGGGTTGCTGGTTGGTTGGTTGGCTGGTAGGTTGGTTGATACACCCAACTTTGAGAAAGCTGTCTCCCGCAGCAAAGCAAAATAAATTCCATCTGGGTATGAACTAAACCATTACTAGAGACTTTTGCTTTTTCTTACATCATGTTGCTCATAAAACAGGTTGCAATAGCTAAGGATCAATGAAAACACTGGCAACACAGGGTGGGGCAATAGTAGAGTCTGTCAAAGTGATGGAAAAATGAGGACAGGCGAACGGGCTCATTCTCAAATGCAGTAATACAATTATATAAGTGACCACCACTGTCAAAATTCAGAATAGCCCACTTAATTATCTTTGGATTTTACTGTATTCATTAAGCCTCAAAAAAAAAAGGAGTAAAGAGTCAGTTCAAGAATGTTAGTGTAAGTCCTAGGCCAACTGTTCCAATTTTTCAATAAATGAAAAAAACTTTGTTGTACAACCCATATCAGTTCAGGTTTTTTATTACTAACACCTCTTTAACATGTACCAATATATAAAGAAAAAGAAAGGCAAGCCATGTATGTGGCATAATACACTATTACGTCTGTTTTCTGAAAAAGGGAAAATAGAATACATACCGGAAGAATATATAAGAAACTAGTAACATTGGTTGTCTCCAGTGAAAGGAAAAGTATACCTGAGGAATAGAAGAAAAAAGAAAACTCACTTTTTGTACTTTTGCATTTTGTACCACATAAAAATATTATCTAATCCTATTAAATATTACATACATTTGTAAATAGGTTTTGATTATATTCCGTTTTTATTTTATTTTATTGGTCTGGGGGACACAGTGGGTGGTGCGCAGAACTAACTCCTGTCTCTGCACTCAGGGATCACTCTTGGCAGGACTCCAGAAACCTTATGTGATGCTGGGAATCTAACCCAAGTTGGACTTACACAAGACAAACACCCTACCTACTTTACTATCTCCCCAGCCCCACATTCAGGTTGGAGTGATTTGAAGGCTTACAGAGTTTAGTTTTAAGATTATCCCTTATAGAATTACCCTGAGAGCCCAGATATAAGCATGACAGTAAAAAATGTTGAAAGTCGGGGGCTGGAGCGATAGAACAGCAGGTGGAGCGTTTGCCTTGCATGTGGCCAACCCGAGTTCGATTCCCAGTATCCCATATGGTCCCCCGAGCAACGCCAGGGGTAATTCCTGAGAGCATGAGCCAGGAATAGCCCCTGTGCATTGCCAGGTGTGACCCAAATACCCAAAAAAAAAAAAAAAGTTGAAAGTGGGAGAAAGAAAAGGAGAATGCTGAGCTCTCTTAAAAAGGGGTGGGGAGAGCATTTCAATCAAAAAGGGAAGCATCTGGGGTCAGTCTGATGGAAATACTATGTACCTTCTAATTTCTCATCTGATTTTAGTAGAAAATAAAAAGTAGCAAGATGAATCAAAAAGATCAACAGATTCCTTTTCTCCAATTTGTTAAAGAAATCACACAGAACTTTCTTTCTTGCAGAGAAATACAGACTCTTAAATTATAACAGTAACATGAAAGTCTGTTATTCAGATTAGAAATTGAAAGAAGTTTCTGAGAAATTTATCAAATTAACCTTAAATGGTTTCTTTCTCAACACTTTCTTTAATACACAGACTCCCCTTTCTCATGGTACAAACACTGTTAACTCAAAATTTAGTCACCCCAAATCTTAAGTAACTAAAAATCTGGGGGTGAGGTTGGATGGGGAGCTCCTTGGAAAGGGCAGTTCAATATAAGGGTCCAAGGATGCCATGATGCTCAGTCTGGGGATGAGGTCTTCACTGTAATGCGGGTGGGAGGGGCAGGGAGGTGAGGGTATGCTGTGACAAGAATCCAGGGATCAAACCAGTCATGTACTTGCCCTAACCCTGTAGGATCTCCCTGACTATTAACTATTACATAGATCAATTTCACTTTATGTCAGTTGCCCAAGCATCCAACAGACATGTATTTTTATACAAGTGAATGCCAAGGATAAAACACAGGGCCTCACACATACAAAGCATGACCTCCACCATATCCCACGCCCCCATACACATTTCTAAATGTGAATAGTGTATATTTTTATAAATTTTATGTACTTATTTCTATGCAATGATTAAGTTGAACAAAACACATTTCTTTACATTGGAAGTTTCTTTCTTTGGAAAGCAAGCCCTATTTCTCATATCAAAGCCAGAAAAATGACTGGATAACAGGTGATAAGTTTTATTATCTATTACCATTTACTAATCCAGCTCAATTACAAATAACAGGGGTCTGCTGCACGCAAGGCAAGTCTTACCCCATCTATCTCTTTGGTCAAGAATATATTCTTTTGTTTTGGGGCTACATCCTGGTAATGCACGGGGGACCATAAGGGATGCCAGAGATGGGACCCGGTTTGGCCACATACACAGCAAGCTCCCTATCTCCTGTATTATCTCTCCAATCCCAAAGAATGCATTCTTAGTAACTGCCACTTGTCAAATAATGTATGGAAGGCCACCACAGAGAAAAAGTAATATAAGTTAACAGATTCAATATAATGGCAATATAATGTCCCACATATGTACAAGGGATTAAAGGAAAGACTAAAAAGTATCAAACTTTTACAAGTCAAAAATGTGATCATCGTATAATTGATCAAAAATTTGATCATTGTATAATTGAAACCCAAGCACAAAAATGTGTAAGTCTGCAACTGTACCTCATGATGTCTCACTATTAAAAATTTTTTTAATAAAATTTTTAAAAAATGTGGAAACTGGGGCTGGAGCGATAGCACAGCGGGTAGGGCATTTGCCTTGCACAAGGCCAACCCAGGTTCAATTCCCAGATCCCATATGGTCCCCTGAGCACTGCCAGGAATGATTCCTGAGTGCAGAGCCAGGAGTGACCCAAAAAGGAAATAAAAAAAAAATGTGGATACACTCCTTAGTACCACCAGGAGAGGTCCCTACAAAAAGATACTGGTCTCTAGTTATTTTATCAAGATAATAGGTAACATGTTAAAATATAGGCAGAGACAACATTAACTGAAAGAATACCTAACATATAGAGCTGTGTGACTTCTTTTGGGTGTATTTCCGGATCAACCTTTATAATCCCTTGAAGTTCACTTAGAAGACTGCTTAAACTACAGAAATGTATCACCTAGACTTAAAGTGACCTGTGTGAAGAATGTACCAAAAACCTCCAGAGAATAACCCTCATGAGAGAGCTTGAAATAAAATCTCTTACCCTACTTTGGAAAGTTTGCCTCCCCCGTCCCTGAACAATACACAACAAATGTGTCCTCGACGTTTCTTTATTTAAGTTTGATCATCAGATCACCAGTTAATCAATAATTTCCTACTGCAGTTTCTAAGAGTAATCCTTTAAACTCAAATCACTTGATAAAATGTTTACTTTGCAAGAAGAAACATTTTATTTTATTTATTTTTGCTTGGTTTGGGGTTACTCCCAGCATTGCACAGAGGTTACTCCTGGCTCATGCACTCAGGAATTACTCCTGGCGGTGCTCAGGATACCTTATGGGATGCTGGGAATCAAACCTGAGTCGGCTGCATGCAAGGCAAACACCCCACCCGCTGTCCTATTGCTCCAGCCCCAAGAAGAAACATTTTAATACAAACTCCTATACCTAAATCTGTTAGAGGTGTCAAAGTTAGTTCAGTAAAAACAAAATACAGTTAAAATAATTTCTCTGACTGTACTAGGCGATGTTCAGGAGTTAATTCTAGCTCTGCAACCAGGTGGAGCTTGGAGAACCATAAGGGATGTTGGAGATTGAACCATGTTCAGAATTGTGCAAGGTAAGTGCCCTACTCATAGTACAATCGCTCTGGCCCACATTTAAAAATAATTTTAAGTACAAGTTTAAATATTCTAGGAATGGACCCAAAGATAAAGCAGAATGCTAAGCTTTTTGATTACTTTCCACAACTTGGAATAGAAGATACGAATCTCAGAATGTGGTGGTACACATAAGACTATTATGCAAAATTAATGAGCAATAAACAACCATTTATATTGAAATGCTAGGAAGTGAGAAGACTGCAGGGCCTAAAAGTCCAAGGAGGTATTAGAAACCAGCTTCTCAGAGATGATTATATGTGAAGAAATATAAACATGGAGGCAAGACGGAGAAAAAAATGCCTGAGATCAGGTCTGTCACAGGCAGACAAAGCTGAGAAAGAATAGAACCATCATAAGAGTCTTAAAAACTACTTTTCTAGGGTCCAGAGATAGGCGGGGGGAGGGGGGATGTGGGGGAGGGTGGAACCAGAAGTCCTGAGCACCATTGGGTATGGCTGAAAAACTAAAAGGGGGAATTAGGGAGTGATGGAAAGGAGAGTATGTACTTTTCAGGCCTGAGAGGTAACTCTAGGGAATGGAAAGCATGCTTTACATGCAAAAGGCCTGGGATCCATCCTGGAATCACAAGGATCCCCTCCCCTCAAAAGCTCAGAGCCAGGAGTAGCCCCCAAGCACTATCAGGTTTGGCCCCAAAAACAAACAAAGACAGCTATTTTTAAATGTTATGCAACAGAAATCTATTGCAGGAGAACAATTATCCCAGTGAAACCTGTGTCCAATTGACCTGGCAACTGTGCACAAAAAAGAATGAAGGAAGCAAGTAATGGTTTTATAAAAATTACAGTAACAGTAATCTAAACCCAGAATTATGGTAAAGGCCAGTTTATCAATCGGGGGCTTATGGCCCTCTGTTGAGCCCCCTGAATATTACTAATAGAAGTTTCCCTGGGGCTGGAACAATGATAGCACAGCAGGTAGGGCGTTTGCCTTGCATGTGGCCAACCCAGGTCCAATTCCCAGCATCCCATCTGGTCCCCCAAGCACTGCCAGGAGTAATTCCTGAGTTCAGAGCCAGGAGTAACCTCTGTGCATCGCTGTTGTGACCCAAAAAGAAAAAAAAGAAGAAAGAAAAAGAAGTTTCCCTACATCTATAAAACAATTGATTCTATAAAAAGCTAACTGCTGGGTATCCTACAATTTAACTCAATTCTGACCTTATCTATAGCAGACAGCCATAAGGTACTAAGGGTTAGGAATTCAGTCTTGCAAGAACGGCCTGATCCCCTCCATTCAGACTGTTAACTATACTTCTGACAAGCTAGCTACTGCCCAGAATGTCCAAGACCTTCTCCAAGTTCCATTACTTTGCTAGAAGAGCTCACAAAAATCAGAGAAGCATTTAACTTACCAGACTTACCAAAGGAAATAACTTGGCAAATATAGAAGATATGGTACTTAGGAAAAGACAGGGGTCCTCTAGAAAATGTATGTTCCCCCGAGCACTGCCACTTTCCCCACACCCTTGTGTACTAATCAACCTAGAAGCTCTGTGAATATCTGTAACCTTGTATAAAACATCTGTAAACTTTTATGGAGGTTTCTATTATATAGCTTAACTGATTAAGTCTTTGACCATAGGTGACTGAAATCAACCTCCAACCCCTCTCTCTTGCCTAGAGGTTAGGGGGTGGAACTAGGAGCTCCAACCTTCTGGAGGAGGAGGAAGAAGAGGAGATCATCTAAATCATGTTTCCCAAAGTAGGTGATACCACTTCCTGTGGTTCCAGCACCCCACAGGGAGTGGTATCACCTACTTTGGGAAACATAATCTAGATGATCTCCT